CACGAAAGATGCGTATGAATTGTTCATCCCGCGGAAAGTCCGTTAAAAAGTTGACGTAACGCGTCTTGACTGATGAATAAATGAAACACAGGCACACATACTGGAAAGCCCAAGGAGTTCTGTGAAGGACGAAGTCGTCGAATAAAATTCTCCTCCACGCCGAGGTTCGACGTCGTTTCTCGATAGCGGCTTTGATATTAATAACGCGCACGTCCTACGAAAGAGAGAAAGAGAAAAAGGGGGAGTGAGAGGGGTGAAGGAGTATGGAGCATAAACTCATACAATGCACTTTGAGTGGCCGCGCCAAGGACTCTGTATGCATTTTACGTTCGGCACCCGCTTCTTGTTCGAAGCGGCGTCACGCCACGCCACTCGAGACATAATCGGTATAAACGTCACCGGCAGTAGTACCGCGATGTCATCGCGTTTATGAAGCACGACGATATTAGCACGGCGCCGAACGCGGCGAATCGATGTGTCCCCGGTATCGGGCTCGCGACCTCCGTAAAATCCCGCTATTACGATTTGGAGCGTGGAGATCTTTCGCGAGCGCGCGGCTGACACTTCGCGCTCATAAAAAGAGGACGCACTTGGATCCTTTTATGGGACCTTCGTGGGTTATTGTTCCGTCGCTATTATTTCCGCGCTTTGTGTTCTTCTTTAATGTTTCGACGTATCTTAATCTTTTTTTTTCTTTTGCAATCGGTCGGACATAAAATCGCAGGAGACTCGTGACGCTCATGCTTCGTGTCTCATGACTCGTGACTCGATACTTCCGTCAGAAGAAATTAAATCGGAATTGTTAGAAAAGCGCCTCAACTTTGCGACGCAATCGCCATGCACGTGTAACGTTTAACTGCGAATAACTAACAATAAGTATTGAACCCGCACGAAGCGCGGCTATAAGAGAGATTGACGCACGAGGAGGGAAACCGCTCGCGGCTGTGAAAGGTTTTTACTGCACGATAAAGAAAAAGTCTCCATTACCTGATACAACGGCGACGGTGGCTGTTGTATACGGAACCGGGGTGAAACGGAACTCGCTCTGCGCCGGAAATCCCTCCGTATCGGAAAGAAGCCGCGGGCCAATATAAGCGCGGACGCAGTCCGAATTTGAAAATCCACGCGGGATAAATCGCGAGACTCTCGTCGGGAGGCGGCTGGCCGATCCTTTTTTCGCAACAAAGTCGTAATATGACGCACCGGGGAATACCGTACTCGGGGAGGAGACATGAAGCGCCGCGAACGATATGAACTCTGCGAGAATGACGTGCTCCGACGAACTATACATTTCAGACGAATTTGGAGCCTGCCGCGACTGCAATATTTTTCCTCGCGGCTGAGAAGAGAAGAGAAAAAATGGCTTTAGGAACGAAACAACCCTCGAGAAAAATGAGATTTGGCTCAGACTTGCGGCACAATTTCAATTTGCTCGCCGAACGCGTTCCGCTTGCGAATTCGTAGAAGCGCGCTCTTCTCTTGGCGGCGAATTAAATGTAATCAAACATATCCATGATTCATTCGCGTAGCGCAAGAACAGGAAAATAGTGAGTTTATTTGCAAATCCGCCGCAGGCAAACAAATCCCGAACGTGGCGACACCATAATTATTTAATCAGCTCGCCGACGCGTCTCGCATCTTTCACAACTACTTGGAAAAACGTACCCGTGTAACTATGCAATCGTATACAAAGTGAAGCACGTAATTAGGATCAATTCGTAAGGATTCACCTTGCTTCGGAACTGTAACAATGGATCGTATTTAGATGGATCGTAGATGGATATATTTTGGATTACATTCAAAATACTTTCCTGAAAGAAATTATCCAACAAAAAGTTAACAATTATATCTGATTAGGATATCCGATTAAATTTAGTCAGTTATTTTATTTTCGATCATAATGATATTTCATTAGATAAACCGATTAAACAATTATGAACCAATATTTCTCATCGGATCTTTCCTGATCGGATACAAAAATTCATCGATATTTTGATCATCCATTTGTTAATTTTGTATCAAATAATTTCTCTTAGTGTATAAATCAGATAAGAACCATTTGAAGTCCATATTGTATTTAACATAATTGAATTTGTCTTAATATTATTTACAACTTTTGTTATGGAACAAAAATTGATTTTCATCTAAGAAACTGAAGGTGATTTTGGAATCTTAAAAACTACAAGCGACAAAAATTATTTGAATAATACATTGTATAGCTCCCTTCAAATCTTATAAAATATTTATTTGTATCAACTTTCGATAAAATCAATATTTGCGGCATTATCGAAGTGGTCTCAGTGGTTTCGCCCTATTCTCTATTTCTCTCAGCACGTTTTCGCAGTGCGGGGAAGACAAGAAGCGAAATGTCCCTGGGTGGTGTCAGAAACATCAGCCCGTGGTTTTAGTGTCGATAGGAGCTTGAAATCAGTAGCGACGTCAACAACGAATGTCTTCCTCCGTCGATTCTCTCGCGAGTGACGAGGCTTTTATCGGCGCTCTCGTTAAAACCGGGCCTGTATTTCGCCGTTCTGTACGATTCCCACAGCGAGATCCGATATGGGCACGTCAACATCGCTTCGAAACGACACGTTCCCACGGGAACGCGTACGTGTTTCGCGGACTCATCGGGGACGTATTACGATCGCTGCGACTGCATGCACGTGTTCCGTATGCGTACCGTGCGCTGCTTCAGCTATGCGAACAACGATGCGTCGGAGGTGCAATTTCCTTGCGAAGTTAAATAGTTTCAACGCGTCAAGCTTGACGACGGAGATTTCTAAATCGCGATGACGGTTCGGACAATGATAGCGACGTGAATGGAATTCAAGGGAGCAAACACACACATGTACACGAGAAGCACGCAGTCGAGATGCCGCGGATTGTCAGATCAATACGAGAAAAATTCGGTCGATACGCTAACAGGAAAAATATTTAGGAAATAATTAAATAAAGTGTAAAATAAATAAATATTTTTCTTTGGTGAAAACTAATAATATACTTAAGTCTAAAGTCTCTTTATATAAACGATTGCTTTCATAAGAAGGATAAGATTTTTTAAAAGAAAATGTATGTTTTAAGAAAATTCATATTTTTCTTGATTTGAATAATATTTTATATTAGAGAAATAGTAGAGTATAAATATGTTATTAAATATACAAAAATTATATAAAAATCGAGCGTGACATCAACAATTTATTTATACCTCAAAAACAGATCTTAAGAAATAAAAATTTAATGTTTAGTAAATAAAATTGTAATATCTTCCCGCACGTGTATTGCAATACAACAAAGAAAAAAAAGCTATAATATTATTATCTGCAACATAACTTTTACACAATCCTGCTTATAATAAAACAAAAAGTTCAAGAATCAATGACAAAAAGTTTTTAAGTTGAGCCAAATATCAAAGTTATACAAAATCCATTTTGGAATGAATTTATATAAATTCTTTTAAATATGCATTGTTCTAATGATAATATTAATTGTGGAATTATTATTTTAATTATATTAATTTTATAATTATTTTTATTTCATTATATTATAATAACTACTGTTTAATTTTGTAGAAGCTGCGTATTCCCAGTGATATAATAAATACATTATATTGTGTAATTATTCACATAGCCACTAAGAGGCGAGCGCTTAATATCGCAATGTTATAAATTAAGATTTTATTAATAAGAACTAAAGAACCACCGTTGCGGTTGTTGAGCGTTATTTTATATTCAACATTATATTAATTATAAATTACAAAGACGTTTTGACCATGGGATATGGTCCTCTTCAGTTTATAGTTGTCACGAATTCATCAATACATGTAAAGGACACCGGTTAATGTCATACGCTGTGTAAGCTGTTTGCGCCGGAAGTACTTCATTGTTGATAAGCTCGATGAAAAAGTAATACAAAATCAACAATAAAACTAATGCGCAAATGGAGAGATAATAAATTATCGTAATGTTAATTTAATAATAATAATAATAATAATAAATAAAATAAAGAAAATGAAAAAAATATATAAATAAAATGAAAAACATTTTTTATTTAGTCGGCTAATTTTAACAGGCCGAGTATTGATGTTCATAAAAATAAAAAATTTTTTAATTTCCATCTATCGTACTAGGTCAACTATTTTTTCTGCAAAGTTGATTTCAGATTTATAATCAGCGATCGAAAAAACACTTAGATATTAAGTTTCATTGAAATTAAAAAATTTCATCAATATATAGTCCGCCATATTAAATTGGCTATTTTGAATTTTAAAAATCTATTTTCAAATTTATTGCCAGCAGTCAGCAAAACCCCCGGCTATGAAGTTTTAAATTATCGGACTGATATAAAAATTCGTGCTTTAAAGCATATGATCTGACATGTTAATGAATTTTAACAACTTTGACCCCTTACATTTCTGAAACCAGTTCTCCGTTCAACTTAAAAACTTTTTGTGTTTGATGTCTCATTATAAGATATCATTTGACCCACAATTTAATCCCAAAACTGCGGAACTAAAAACGTGATTTCTGCGGACGTTTTCTCTTTTTGATCACCAAATATACAACAATTTTATTAATATGTTTATTAATTTTATATATTCTCCATATTTCTGACAGCCCGGTCGTTGTTAAATGTAAAAAAAAAATAATTCTGCAATCTCACGAGACAATACATTTCGATGTTCTTGAACAAAATAATTCGTAATAATGCGTAATGGCTGAAACAAGAATCTTCTTTTTGTACTACTTGGAATTATAAATGTAAGAACCATGAAAGTTATATCGTAATGTCATCATTATTACGATATATAGGAGGAAGTATTGTAATTCTATTTTTGAAGTATCAAACGTTGTTCATTAAAATTTATATTAGACATATTATATATTTCTCAATCTTAAACTCGAATTTTATACGCGTCTTCCTCTTTGTTTGCCGATATTTAACGCTACATACATAGTAAATAGTAACTAACCTTGTAAATCTAAAATTAAAACACATATTTATATAATAATTGACAGCATTTATTTATAGCAGCACATATACATTTATATATTTGGACATTTCACTTATTATTTTCTTGTTTTATTGCTTTATACGAGCATTCAGATTGATATGTTGCTGTCAGACGTTTTTCTGCAAGTACAAAAAAAATAACTCGTTATTGCTAGAAGTACATTCGTTAATATATTATTTTACTATAAACAAGTAATGATTATCACTGGAGACAATGTATCTCTGAACGTTCGGAAACATATTGTAAGCAAATTACATCTCGTAATCTGTCTTAACCTCTTTTAATTATACCTCGTAATCTCTTTTAACCCCTCGGGATACATATTCTACGATATTTTGCGAATCCTTTTGGACATTGCGCACTCACGGACAAAGTGAATGTTGATATCAATGAAACAGTAATCATCAGATATACAACCAATTTACTCATATTGTTCTCCATGTTTCTGGTAAACGTGTCGTTGATGACTAAACGACAAATTTAATAAATCTGCGATTTTCCGGGACTGCACAATTCGATGCACTTGAGCGAAATGTGACATCTGACACAAAAACCTCTTTTTTATACTGTCTAAAGTTATAAAAGTAAGGTTGATAAAAGTTATGTCGCAGATAATGATATTATCGTTTTTTTTTTGGTTTTATTGCGATACACGTGCGGAGAGATTTCCGGGTAGGATTTTATCGGGGCACGCCCCAAGTCCATAAAAAGCCTAGATAGGCATGCCCTAAAATAGGCTTGGCATCATTGAGCCTAGAAAGGATGTACAAAGGCAAATTCTGAGTAGAATTTCCTTAACAGACCCAGAATAGACACTATTGGGGATACTCCTAACTAGGTCTACCACTGTTGCGTCTAGAAAGGACCTACAAAGGCAAATTCTGAGTAGAATTTCCTAAACAGAATCTGAATAGGCGCTATTGGGGATGCTCTTAATTAGTCCTGCCATCATTAGGCCTACATATGGTCAAGCAAAAGGATTTCTAAATGAAAATTCGTAAATAGGCCCAAAATAGGCACAGATGTGGATGTCCGTAGACATCAACACAACAAGACATGTACTTATATAATTCAGTCAGGATCTCGTTTATTCAATTCTTAATAAGTTCAAATAGTTTAAAGTCTTATAGAATTTTACAGTCTTAGACTGAAGTAAAATTCACATAAGTTTGAAGTAAAACCAAAATACCTATGATTTTGGTTCTCAAAAATAGAATCTTCCAAATAAGGCGTGTCCACATAGGGTTGCACACAGCAAGCTTTCCGAAAAATAACTTGGAAATTATATTAAAATATAACATTGAAATAATTTAGAAATATTTGTGGAACATTTTATCAAAATCTTTTTCACTAAAATATTTCAGAAATCTCTTATAATAAGCGTTGATTTATATATTTATATATAAATTTAATTAATTTAATGAAATCTTATATGATAAAAAGTGGATTTCTCCTTCTTTTAATCGTACTCCTTTATAATTATTCAAGGTTTATAGTCTTTCATGACTTTATTTATTTAATAACACTCAACAATAAAAAAAATTTTACTATAAAAATTTAAAAATAACGAAATGAAAGTGGAGATTTTGTAGACTTCACCTCATTAGCTAAGGGTTAAATTAATAATAAAAGTACGAAAAATATAATTTTTATTAAAATTATATCATTTTATTAAGTTATATTATCAAAAAATTATGTGTTAATTACTGTGTTAATCACAACACGTAAAGAAAAAATGTAAGACGCTTATATCGATTGAAGAAGTGGTGTAGTATCTAAAGCAACATATTTATAATCCAGAGGTGCCTCAGGCAGGGTCCAGGTTTCCCACCAGTGTCAGTGAGAATTTTTAAATGTGATGTTGCATTGGAATCAAGTAATCTAAAATTTTCAAATAAAATCAGCAAGCGCGCGCTGTGACTTTTACGAATAGTTTCTATTAGAAAAAAAATAGTACATATTCATACATAAAAGAATATTTTTTTCTACTTAGGCATGTCCAGATAGGACCTACATAGGCGTGCCAGAATAGGGCTTTGTTAGATTTACAAATCGGGTGCTGACTTACAAAAGCGTTACATCTCTGTTTAGGGCCTATTCGGGCTTGCCTGAATGGCGCCTAGACAGAAATGGGGAAATACTATCTAGGGCTTTTACAAGCCCTCTTTTAAATTCCTACCCGGGAAGAGGTGAACAGAAAGGTATAAAATTTGAATTCAATATATTGACATACTCATAAGTAAAATACAAATAAGTTCCAGTAAACATGTTCGATATTATAATAATAGGGCAATACTTTCATCCTACATGTTTTGCAATATGGAAGATTTACAATATAACTTTTATGGTTCTTATATTTATAGTTCCCGTGGGAGACATTACGCATCAAGAACCATTTTGTTCAAGAGCGACATATATTGTTATGTAAGATTGCAGACTTATTAAATTTGTTTTTCACAATTCACAGCGACTCATATGCCAAAAATATGGAGGACATCCATATCAGTAATATCAATGTGATCTAATTTTCATTAATATCAACTTTTCTACTTTAATTTTAAGAAGGGTGTGTTTATATATTTCATAGTTTCGCAGGTTTGAAGATTTTGTTTTTTTATTTGCAGGTAAATGCAGGTCTGATAATAATGCGTTGATTTAAAAATTTTTATAAAACACAATAGATGCGAGAGGATATAAATAATGGTTATATAAAAATCAAGCATGACACTAAAAATTTATTTATTTCAAAAATATATTTTAAGAAATAAAAATGTAATATTTAGTAAATAAAATTGTAATAAATATCTCCCCGCACGTGTATCGCAATAAGACAAAGAAAATAAAGCGATAATATTAATATTTGCAACATAACTTTTATCGGTCTTATGTTTATAACTTTAGACAAGGACTGAAACTTTATGAAAAGGATATTCTTGTGCCAGATATCACATATCAGGAATTATTTCGCTCAGATGCACCGAATTGTGTAGTCCCGGAAGATCGCAGATTTATTAAATTTGTCGCTTAGTCATCAACGACACGTTTACCAGAAACATGGAGAATAATATAAGTAAATTAGTTATGTATATGATGATTACTGTTTCATTGATATCAACATTCATTTTGTTCGCGGTTGCGCAAAAAAAAATCCATCGGGAACATTTCCATATGGTGGAAGATGTATCAGGCCCGATTAAAACGAGATATAATTTGCTTATAATATGTTTCCGAACGTTCAGAAATTCATTCTCTTCAGTGATAATCATTGCTTGCTTATAGTGTGATAATGGTATATTAACTAATGTACTTCTAGCAATAGTATTAACGAGTTATTTTGTTTATACTTGCAGAAAAATGCGTGTCTGACGGCATCGTATCAATCTGAATGCTCGTATGAAACAATAAAACAAGAAAATAATAAGTGAAATGTACAAATATACAAATGTATATGTGCCGCTAAGTAAATGCCGTATAAGTAAATGCCATCAATTATGTCTTATTTGTATATTTTAATTTTAGATTTACAAGATTAGTTACTACTTACTATGTATGTGGCGTTAAATATCGGCAAACAAAGAAGAAAACGCGTACAATATGCGAGTTTAAGATTAAGAAATGTATAATATGTCTGATATAAATTTTAATGAATAATGTTTTATATTTTAAAAATAGAATTATAATACTTCTACCTACATAGTGTAATAATAATAACATTGCGATATAACTTTTATGGTTCTTATATTTATAATTCCAAGTAATACAAAAAGGAGGTTCCTCACGTGTGCATCATCACGAATCATCTTGTTCAAGAACATCGAAATGTGTTGTCTCGTAAGAGATTGCAAATTTATTCATTGCTTTTTTTTACATTTAACAACGGCCCGGTTGCCAGAAATATGGAGAAACTCATATTAATAAAATTGTTGTATATTTGATGATCAAAAAGCGTCTGTAAAAATTGTCCGTTTTTAGTCCCGCAATTTTGGGATTAAATTGTGGGCCAAATGATTATGTTGAGATATCAAACACAAACAAATTTTAAGTTGAATAAGTATGAGAGGTCAAAGTTAAAATTTATCAACGTGTCAAATCACATGCTTTAAAGCATGAATTTTTATGTCATTCCGATAATTTAAAACTTCGTAGCTGGAAGTTTTGCTGATTGCTGCATAATATATGTATGAATGTACTAAACTATACAAGTTGCGATAGCACTTGAGAGATCAAAGTGTACGATGCGGTTTAATACACTCAGTGTCATCTGATAATCGGAACAGGAACTGCAATCTCTTTATCGACTGTAAGTACAACATGGGATACATGTAATTTCTGGGTTCAAAAATGTAAAATCTCTCAAATTTTTCTTTTGCCGAAAATTGTTTGTCATAATGAATATGATGATGGTACACGGAAAAAAAGTTTGGTTAAATTAACCAAATATCTGGTCGAATATGAACGATCCAGAAATTTCGATTGAAGTAACCCGAATTCTGTTTAAGTCAACAAAAATTCTTGTTAACTTAAACAGAATTGGGGTTATTTCAATCGGAATTTCTGAATCGTTCATATTCAACCAGATATTTGGTTAATTCAACCAAACCTTTTTTTTCGTGTATGATGAATGGATATAGAATAATGGTAAGTCTATTCAATATTTAACTTTATTGCTACGTTGCTTATTCTAAATCTCAAAGAGAACTCTTTCGAAGGAAGATAATTAAAATAGAAGATGGGCACGCAGAGCGCTACTATAATAATTATAATATTTATTATCACAAACTATGAGTTACATCGTACACAGTAATGTAAGAAAAGCTGTTCGCAAGTTTGACGGTAATTCACTCTTCCGTCCCCTCCGTTGACTCGTCGCGCGATTAAGCTAATCGCGAGTTTTAGCGTGACGAGTTCATGCACTCTAAGCTACGAACATCTAACAAACGGACAATTAAGATTCTTTTTACAATTGCATTTCCCTCGAACTATTTCCCTATGGTAGGAGGATCAATCTCTCCAAAAACCTCTCGTTCAAGAACAGTGAGATTTCCCCTCAAACCCTTCGTCGTTTCTTTTGCTGCATGTCGATATATCATCATACCCAGAGGTTTACAAAGAAGGCACCGTTTTGACATTGAATTATACATTTACAATTAGATAAAAATTATATTGCTTCTCATAAGACTACTATATACACTCATGACCTAATATTACCATGTAGATGCTAACAAATTTTTATAATTCCTCTTGCTCTTTCTGGTTCTTTCTTTCATTTTTTTTTTATTTTCGCTTGTTTTCTTTTAATTTTATATGTATTATAAGCTGCTTGTGTGATCTTCCAAAAAATCTCGTCGTAAAATATATTTGTATATAGTCGTTATATATAATCATTTATATGTATCTATTTATAGATATGTTTTTGTATATGTCTGTGTATGTGTGTGTCTCTGTGATACAAAACGCTGAAGCTGCAGCTCGCACGTGGTTGCGTAATTCATTCTCGAGAACGTGTTCTTTGGAATGTAACGACAATAGTCCGAACGATTCCAGGACGAATTTTACGTAGGCTAAATTGACGGATACTTCAGAATGATTTCTCCTCCCTTCCTATCGCACAACTGCTCAAAGAGCTCGACGAACTGTAGCTTCAGCACGCTAGATTGGAACTTGAAACATTCAGTTTATATGTCAATTCGTTTCTTCGCTCGTGTTTCCCCTTCTTTTTCCTTGCTCTTCTCACTGTGAACATTGCATACACGAAACAGTAGTAAAGTTGTTGCGATTAAAAGAGAAAACGGATTTCTTAAACAATAACAAAGTATGTCGCACGCTGCTGAGAATCACATAAATGCTCGACGCGTACGGGCGTCATCCGTGCTTCGATATTACGATCGCCCTCGACGAGAAACCATCGTAAACATTTCCTCTTAGTCGGGTCGCCCAACAGTCGGCACTACGATACCGATCGTTCCTATCGTCGCGATTTGAGTCATCGACAATATTTTAACACGTCTGCTACCAGTGTCACACGTGTGTGACAGCGCTCATTTTTTCTCCTGTGTCTACACATATAAACAAAACTAAGCCTGTCCTACATATAATTACATTAAGAGAAAAATATGAGGTGGTCCATGGGAAGAGTTTCCCAAATGAACTCTGGTCGTAAACGTGTTAAGGACGTTTCTGTCGCGAACGCGAATGATCCATGCGACTCGCGCAACAAAACGTCGTGCGAAACGTTGTCTCGCAGAAAGCTCGTGAACTTCTTTTTATATGATCGCGACATTTATGTCGTTGCTCAGTCCTCGTCGTGAAATCCACATCAACGGCGATCTTGTCGCGCGTACCTTGACGCGCAACGATTAATCGGTCCGAAGCTTCGCAAAGTTGATGTGTATAAAACTTTCGCGGATTTTCCGCCGGGTAGCTTCACGGAAAAAAGATATGGACAACTAAACATAATTTGCTGTGTTAGCCACATTATTTTGCTGCAGGAACCAATTTTCTTGCTAAGATAACAAGAAAATCTGCTCCTGCAACAAAAAAAGTAGCTAAAGCAGTAAATTTTGTTTAGTTATCCATCTGTAATAAATTTGCTGAGTTAGCCACTTTTCTTGCTGTATAGGCAAATTTTCTTGTTATCATAGCAAGAAAATAGGTTCCTGCAACAAAGAAAAAGTAGCACAGCAAATTATCTATATTAACTATCCATATATAGCAAATTAGTTTGCTGCTGCAGCAAATCTTTTTTCCGTGTTCGTTTTTCGATTAGTCGCAATTTCTCCCTCTCTCTCTCTTTCTCTCTCGATTAGCCCTCGTTAAAAATTCCCTTTGAATCAGTCCTGTTCTTGTTCCCGATATTGTTGTCAATGGCGTTCGATCGCGGGAAGTATTGAGATACACCGCGATAACATTTCCGTCAAATTGTCTAAAAACGCTACACATGTTCGCTTGCCACTTCGGTCAGTTCGCTTCCGCTACATCGCGCTGTGTAATCGCTGTAAGAAGATGATTATCCGTAATTACATAATTGAATGTAAACCTGACGAACAGCGCGGCGTCCCGAGCAAATGTGTTCGGGGCCTGTTTTCATCTCGCAGACTCGATACACTGTACAGTTAATAGGAAGTTTGGTCCGACAGTTTCGTTATTGACTGTGACTTGATCCCCGTTGACACCTCATCACATGTGGATGGTCGCGGCTGTGTAACGGGCCTCACCTCTTCGCCAGCTCCATTGACTCGGACGGTACTGAAAAGATGACCCCGAGATAGATGAGATTAGTGGGCGAGGGATTAATTACGTAAAGTATTCCGAAATCTCTAGAACGCCGAACAACAATGATCAATAACAGGAGTCGATAATACATATGACGATAACGATGACGATTTCATCGTCAGTAGAATCAGTAGAGAGACAATGAGTATTTTAATCGGCAATAAAATTGTTATAAGCAACGTGAATCAATATCAGGCATTAATCGATTAAAATGTTAACTGACTAAAGCAATTAGCAGTCGAAATTAATCAATCAATTAAATAATCATCTTCTATAAAATCACGAATAACGACTGATAAAATTAATTATTAATGAAACTTCGATGCGACTGATTATAAACTGATTAATAATTAATTTTATCTATCGATTAAATTATCTGTGATTACATCTATGATGATTAATTAATTTTAATTACTGGTTTGTCGATTATTTTAGTCAAACAAAATTTTAATCAATCAATGCCTAACACTGATATACATCGATAATAGAAAAAATAATGAGCAAGGAATAAGAAATCGTCAATCACGCGGCATGATTCATTTCTTTTTTATAATTTAAATATTCTCATAGTAAGATTTTTCTTACCCTTATCAACATTTGTCCTGATGCACTGTGAGGATTGCGATAAGCATACGCACCCCAACCTACGAGGCCCACCGCTAAAGCAACGACGGTGAGGATTCCGATTATTCCAGAAACGCTCATATTCATGTTGTCGCGAGCAGCTAACAAGAAAAAACGAGACGTTCGGCATTAGTGATGCATTTAATCATGCTTTTGTGTTATTCGAGATCCCGGAAAAAAGCAACGCTGGTGGCGATAAAATGCAAGTAAGTCGAATGATTTCTGTTTAAAATGATAGAAGATACTGGCTTCCCTTTCCAATGGTGATTTTGCATCCCAATCTTCCCGAGCAAAAATGTATCTAGTAGAGCAGATTTCAAAACTAGTAGCTAGATAGTAATGACTAGATAAGTTTTCTAGCCAGTGATTGGCTCGTGATTGGCTAAACATTCCTACTCAGTCTTTGAATGTCAGGACTATAAATAACTATACCAATTACCATACCAATAGATATTGGCTAGAGGAAAAAGATTACATAGTAACGAGATAGAAAATAATCGGTAAATTCTGAATAGAACTTGAAGATCAGAACTATCTAGTAACTATACCACTGATAGTTATAAGTTATTTTCTTGTATCTAGCTACTAGATAATTTTTCTGGTACAGCCATTAGGAGAAGTGAGCGTTACATTCCTAACTAGTAGCAATATAAGACCCAACTTTTCTGTGTCATTACTAGACAATTACTAGATTCAATTTTTGCTCGGGTTTAGGGCGCATTTAAAAAGTTTCATGAATAAACTGTTTTAGCCCAAACTACCTGGGTTTCTTATATTTAAAATATCTAAACCTAAGTGTTCTAATCACAAAGTGTTGAGGGGATGAAAGCAGAAGAAAAGGATGAGATATCCAGATTTTGCATTTCAAGTAGGCTATATTTTCCGCAAAGTCTTAAAAAGCAGCTATGCAAAATTTGATTAGATCGATTGAAAAGTTAATAGGGAACATACAGATAGATATTTTATTATTATGTATACATATATAGATTATGGGTTATTTATAAAACTTTCTCTCTTTCTTTCTTCAATACGTCTTGATAAAGAGGATACAAAATCACCTCTGGAAAGGAAGGCCAGCATCTTCTATCATTTTCTATCCGTCGTTTTAAGCAGAGATACTTCGTGGAGCGATAAATGGGAGATTCGTTCGAGATTAGCGAGGCGAACGACAAAAGACAGACTTACAACTTTCCAAGGCGCTCGTATCAGGTCTCTCCTGCTTCGCGCTCATCTCATTGGCGGTGATCGTTTCCTCAGGATGTACGTGACCATCGTGGTCGTATTCCTCGCCTTTATATATCTTGACGTTCGAAGGGCAGTTCGCCGATTCTTTGATATTGCGCACGTCGCAACCCTTCAGCACCCAGTCTTGCCGCGATCGAAAAGTGCCGGTGCTGCATTGATTCAGTTCCGGGCACCACTTGCAGTCGAATTCGTGCACTTTCGTCAGACAGTCGTGACAGTTGTCTATGTCGAGGCAAGTGGGCAAGGCTTTCAGGTAGATGACCGTGCAGTTCATTATGTCCTGTCGATTGAAGTTCACGCGGTGGTACTCGTAGATGGTTTTCCGCCGGACAACTGCGAAGCGAGACGAGCAAATTGAGAGTTTGCAGAGTGGACCTAAAGTGTGTTCGTGTGCGTACACGTGGAAATAATCACGTAACTCGGAGATAACGCGCTAATAACGCTTCCAATAATAATAGACCAGATAGCTCTATACACATATACATTATATCCGCGTTATTTTAACTTTAGATGCGCGTCTAATTGCAAATGTATGAGGTTGTAATCTACCACTACTTCATAATAACTCATAATCGTTTCCGCGGTACTCGCCGTCGAACGAATTCGCTTGAGCCACCTAACTCTACCCACTCGCATCTATTTGCATATAAATATTTTCTACGATCACGTGTACAATGACTCGTCCGCAGCCGCTTGTGAAATCGACTAGTGCGCGCGATAACTGATAGTTACGCGGTAGAGATAGTTATGCAACGCGGTCGAGACGAACGTCGGTGTCTAGGCGCGCACTCAACTCACAGAATACTGTCCTGTCCATGATGTAGGCGTCGCTCAGGCCAACCTTGACAGGATGCATCCTGTCCTCGATCTGTTCGACCACCAGAGGTATGACCGAGTAGACGAACACGATGTCGCCGTTCTGATGCAAGGTCACCTGGAAAGTGAACGCGCCGGACCCTGGTTTGTCCTGCAGCTTCACCTTCTCCCACTCGACCGTAAACGCGGTGCCTGGCGGATAATAAAGGATATAATCTCGTGCCTTTTCCTGCAGGAGTCCTTCTGACTCGGCCTGCCAGGTGACACGCGACTGTTTTGCGCCGTTTCTTTGCCGCCGGCCGCTTGTGGCGGCGTGTTATTACGTGTCGTTAAATCGTCACGCTGCTTTTTCAATCCCCGTGGTAGCCGATGACGCGAATGCCTCACGACACGCTCGACTCGATGCAAGAAAGGAACGGCAGATCGGTTAAGAAGGGTGGGGCGCTCTTGTTAATAAGAATTAAATCGGGAGTCTTTCCGCCAAGTCGCAAGTGCGGAGAATGAGCCGAAGGAGATTTCAGCTATGTAAAGGAGCTGTGTGTTGATTACGACTGGACAGAGTGGAGAACCATCGAGCGTGCTTGCGGAAAATGCAAGGACGAAGCGTCCTTCGCGCGCGAAGGAGAGCCCCCGTTCGAGAATCCGATGACTCACCATTGTCAGCGTATTTGACGTAGCTGGCGTTCGACAGGCGGGTATCGAAATTCGCCATGAGCGGTGCGATGTATTGAGTGGCTGCCAGCCAGCTATGCACGTACTCGCCAGTATACAGGAAACCACCGGTGGCGATAGTGATGTTACGGACTTTATGTCCGTAAAAAGGAAAGTCGAACTTCAGTTTGACAGTCTGTAACGTAGAAAATTGCGTTTCAGTTGGTTTTGCGTTTGTCGTCGACCGAATTGCGAATTTATCGACAAAATCACAATTGCAAGATGAAAAAATTACTCTTTATACCATCTTATACCATTACTCTTTACCCATCAATGCAGTAGCATAGCCAGAAAAAAGTTTCGGGAGGCGCTGTACTTTTTACTTTTGACGAACAAAAAAAAGAACATTCGAAAAAATTTTTATCACTCTTAGCGTAACCCAGAAAATTAATTTCGGGGGAAGGGCTGCAGCCCCCTCAGCCCCTCCCTGGCTACGCCATTGCATCAATGATAATTTCGTTAGACATCTCTGGCTCTCTAAAATCCGTGTTGACAGTTGCCATCCTGAAACTTGTTCCACGTGAGATATTCAGATTCTAATTCAAAGGTAAATCCAAGTTTGTTCATTTAATTACGAGATATGTGGCATATATGTACTCGTGATCGCGATTCAACGGAGAAACTTTCGTCTGACTGAATTTCAATCTGAAGATCTCACTTGAGACGAGCTTTAAGTAATAATTATTAACACGCGCTTCAATTTCTTGGAGTGTAACCTTCACTAGAAACGAGTGAAAATTCATTTAAAGCGACAGTTTTGCGAATAAATATTTTGTTCAAATTTAAAGTAAATTCTTTATTGACACTTAATCAATTTCTAAATCTATTTCTGGGATGGTGAAATTCGTCATATTCACTCTTCAATTTCGCGTGAAAATATTCACTCGATGATTTAGAGCAGAAAATTCACTCCATATGAACGAAAATTTACTCGAGTCCGAACGACTCGACTGCTTTTCGAGCAGAATTTCACTAAAAGTATTATAAACCAGTTCAGTTCTAGAAGTAATACTACATATTACTTTTATCATGTATATTCCGCTTAATTGTTTTAGTTACTTGTCGGAATAATTAGCAGGAGACACGCGGTAAGGCGAGCAAAGCGAGTCTTACCGCGGCGCGTCGATGGCTTTGACTGAGAAGGTGGTTGACTTTAAGCTCCGGATGATTATCCATATCCACCCAATACTTCTTGCAGATGTCGGTGTCGATGATGAAGGTGCTATTATAATACTGGTGCGTATCGTAGACCGTCTTGGTGATGTTGTTCTGCGAGAGCGTGGTATTAGTCACGTCGGAGAACTTGTTGATCGAAATATCGCTGATTTCGCTCTCCGTTTTGTCGTCCTCCGTTTTGTCGTCCTCCGTTTTGTCATCTTCCTTCACGGCTGTCAGTTCCGTCACCTTCGTTTGATTTTTACTGTCATCACGTTGCCAATCCTTGCCGCTCGTCGTGTTGCTCCATCTCGTACGATTAGCCCAGATGTGCGGTGTCGGTGATGGCTAACGACAAAACGCCTTGTTATCGTTTCGATCTCATGTTTTATCCGCTCGTTGCACTATTATTTACCGCTTTAATTAGTGAGTACACTATCACATTCGCCATAACGATAATGATAATTCATAATTATCACAGTACTAATTAGATTATGCGCAGAACAAGACAATAACTATTATTTTGCATATCGCATATCATGAGATTCATTTTACGAAGATAATCTGATCTTCGAAGCTATTTCACACGGATCAAAAGCTTGATTAGATCAAATTTCTGATAAGATATGAACGATCCAGAAATTCCGGTTGAAGTTGTGAGAAATATATGTAGAAAACATCGAGAAATATGAATCTATTAACATTATTACGATTTAACGAAGTTGACGAAAGCTATAATGAAGAAACAAAACGTATGCTACCTGGGAATCTCTCGAGCCGTTCATCGGCAATTCCGCCGCTGGACTTACCGCATCATCGGCTGCGGGGTTCATCGGCTGCGACACCGTCACCTTCTTCTTGGGATCCAAGGTATCAGAAGGAGGTAGAGTGGAGGAAGCGTCACGGGGATAAGTAACGTCTCCGGGCGAGGTCGTCGTGCTCACCGACGGCTGTGCCGGCAGTTGCTGCTGTTGTTGCGGCTTCTGTTCCTGCTGTTGCTGTTGCTGCGGCTGCGACGGCTGTGGGTGCGGCGGCTGTGGCTGCGACGGCTGTGGGGACTGTGCCGAAGATAGCGGCAACTGTGGCTGCTGTGGCTGTTGTGGCTGCTGCGACTGTTGCGCCGGGTCCTTGGGTTCATCCTTCTGCTCGGTCGACACAACTTTGTCGGGCGTCGCCCGCCGTCTCCTCGTGAGGTGCGTATCCTCATCGATCAGTTCGATGTTGGACGATCGAGAATCGATCGGCGACCTGCCCTTGTACACGGCGTAATGGTAATACGAGTCGCCTGGAATGGAAAAACAAGCAAATGCTCATCATCACACGTTAACATCTCGACGAGTAGCTGGGAAAAGTGCGCTTCGGTGATTCAAGAATGCGCGTTCTCGCGACACGCAATAGACGGCGGTGACTCCTCCAAAGAGAAGACAGTCAAGGTGACAAAGAAGATGATGAGATATATATAATGTGAATTCTATGCGCGGAATCTCATTTCGATTTGTCCTTGAGAGCTCACGTAGCAATTACGATTATATATGACGGATTATTGAATGATGACTCGTATCAATCTGTGAGAGACATGCGTGCGGCTGCGCGTATTGTCTCCGGTTCGCACAGGCTCGTCGATGCCGCACCGAGGGGATCGGGTGGCCATTTAATCGACGGTGCGCCTGCAACGAGCCCGTCGCCGGTGTCCGAGATCAGTGCCATGAAACGCGAATTAACCTCGATTTCTACGTTCGCGATAGCCGCGATGCGAATAATCGACGGACGAGAACGGCGCGGGACGGAATTTTCGCGAGCCATAACTCCAAGCCTGAAATGTTTACATCCTTTTGACGCCCTTCACACCCTTGTCCTCCATAGCGCGTCAATTACAATGCCTATCACGAGTTCTGAGTCATTGTTCTTTGTTTAACATACAGAAGGCATGTTACAGTCAGATATCAGTGATCCTTTTCATTTTTATCTACGCCGATTATTATCAACGACAAGTACATGATCGGGCAAATGGAGTAACTGTGCGAAAGCCGTTCGAATAATCAAGAATAAAATTCAGTGGACAGGTCCAGTGATGAATTATTGCTGTATCCCGCGTACACATGTAAAAGAGCAGCACGTGTTTAGAATAGGCGGTGGGCAGGGAACGGGAAGTTAAGCGGCACGATCGACCGGATAAAGCAATAATTGGCGATCCGACAGATCGTACAAGCTCTTGACGTCAGTGCAAACGCGCGAGCCGGAACCAATCGACCGGGTAGCCTGTCATCTTTGAAAAGTCCTCTTGCTTCGTCAGCCCTGAAACTTTCCCACCGCGACAACCAGTTCCTTCTCCAAATTTTCCCGATAATCAGTTCTCCGCGCTCAGCTAATTGCTTTGAATCTCTCGCGTCACGAATGAGCCGAATGAGTCGTGAGAGGAAACTCTGCAGAGTGCTCGTTAACTGCACGTCAGCAAATCGACTCGCGGTTTCACCGCGAATGGCGACACTTCGCCGAATTCGCGCGAGCGTAAATTTATTTATACGCAATTGTAACGTATCCGTCGGAAAATACGTGGGAAGATCCCGGCGAATCTCGACGAGCGCGCGCGAGCCGCGAACGCGGCTTCTCGCGCCCACGCGCGTTTAGCGCCCACCCGGTGCTCAAATTGCGTCGCGCCAAGTTGTGCAGCGTTTCCGCGCAAAACACGTTGCACCGCGGCTGGGTGTCGCGAATCATCGCGATTTAACGCGATCGCGATGGCCGACCAGCCATTCGGAGGCACTCTCGCGGTTTTAATGCCCATGATGACTGATCAGCTCACGTCAGCGACGTGTCTGTAACGTTCAGGTGGTATGACATATGCTTAAGCACATAAAGTGCGCATAAAGTAAAACATTTCAAGACTGAGAGATAGGATATCTAAAAAATCGAGCATATTTATTTGACAGGGATTGGTGACATATTTGCTTAAATCTAAATTCCTTTATTCAACCAAAATGCACAATTGCTTTCATCGGAGAAGATTTTAAGGAAAAGTACATTTTTTATTTGAAAAATAATTTATATTAATATAAGAAAGCAAAGATGTATACCATGGTATATTATTGGGATATAAGAGATAAAATCATACCAATACTTGAGCACTAATAACGTTGGTACTTAACTCTGGACATTCTTATTGCTGTTCGTTTTAGTACATATTTATATAAATCTAGATTATTTTACTTAAGTAGAACCAACAACAACAACAACAATTGCTTTTATCGAAAGCTAAAGTTTCCGGAAAAATGTATATTTTTTTTTTAGAAATACTTTATATTAATATAATATTAAAGTATCAATGATAATTGAACACTGATAACACTAATACATTTATCTCTGGACATTTTTATTGTTAATTGGGTTTTTCATACATTTTGGCTTTTAAATACGAATATTTAAAGCTTCAGTGTAGAATATATATGTATATACATATTATATATATTTATAGTTATTTTTACCCTTAATACACCCAGAGAATAAATACTTTTCATTCCTTAGATTGCTCTTTCTCGCGGTGTAAATGAAGCAAACCGTAACGAAATCGAAATAGTCGCGGGCATGAAAAACAGCCGGGTTCGCGTTACTTATCCCCGTCGCGTTACCTGCCCCGACGCTATTTGCCGTAATTATCGAGAGCGCAGGTCGCAGCAGAAAATTGCAAGGTACGCCGAAGCTTGCGACATATGCGCCAGAAATATTTGTCTTGTCTCCCGACAACGTTCAATTTCGTTCGTTTCGACTCACGCGAGAACGCAAGTCCTCGCTCCTTTGTTCCGCGTGAAGTTCCCTTCGCGCTAATAATACTCGCGACCCGAATGCGGCGTGTAGGTAAACGCCGCGACGTTTCGAACAAGAGCGCAACGGAGCTCGCTTGGCGTTCTCGATCGCGCATCGAGTCGCGAACGCTTCGACATACCCGAGTAGGAATTTAAAAAGGACTTGTAAAGGCCCTAGATAGTTTTTCCCCATTTCTGTTTACGCGCCATTCAAGCAAGCCCGAATAGGCCCTGTACAGAGATGTAACGCTTTTGTAAGTCAAGGTCCGATTTGTAAATCTGACGAGGCTCTATTCTGGCACGCCTATGTAGGCCCTATCTAGACATGTCTAAGTAGGAAAGAATATTCTTTTATGTATGAATATGTACTATTTTCTAATAGAAACTATTCGTAAAGGTTACAGCGCTTGCTGATTTTATTTGAAAACTTTAGATTACTTGATTCCAATGCTACATCACACTTAAAAATTCTCACTGACACTGGTGGGACTCGAGAACCTGGACCCTGCCTGAGGCACCTCTGGATTATGAATCTGTTGTCTTAGACACTACGACACTTCTTCAGTCGATATAAGCGTCTTACATTTTGTCCATATGTGTTGTGATTAACATAGCAATATAATTTTTTGATAATATAACTTAATAAAATTATATAATTTTAATAAAAATTATATTTTTCGTACTTTTATTGTTAATTTAGCCCTTAGCTAATGAGGTGAAGTCTACAAAATCCCGCATTTTCATTTCATTATTTTTAAATTTTTATAGTAAAATTTTTTTATTGTTGATTGTTATTAAATAAATAAAATCATGAAAGACTATAAAACTTTGAGTAATTATAAAGGAGTACAATTAAAAGAAAGAGAAATCCACCTTACCATATAAGATTTCATTACATTAATTAAATTTATATATAAATATATAAATCAATGCTTATTATAAAAGATTTCTGAAATATTTTAGTGAAAAAGATTTTGATAAAATGTTTCACGAATATTTCTAAATTATTCCAATGTTATATTTCAATATAATTTCCAAATTATCTTACGGAAAGTTTGCTGTGTGGAACCCTATGTGGACACGCTTTATTTGGAAGACTGTATTTTTGAGAACCAAAATCATAGGTATTTTGGTTTTATTTCAAACTTATGTGAATTTTACTTCTGTCTAAGATTGTAAACTAAAATTCTGTAACACTTTAAACTGTTTCAAGAATTGAATAAACGAGACCCTGACTTAATTATATAAATACATGTCTTGTGTTGATGTCTACGGACATCCACATCTGTGCCTATTTTGGATCTATTTACGAATTTTCCTTTAGAAATCCTTTTGCTTGGCCATATGTAGTCCTAACGATGGCTAATTAAGGGCACCCCAACAGCGCCTATTCAGAGTTTGTTTAGGAAATACTACTCAGAATTTGTCTTTGTATGCCCTTTCTAGACACAACAGTGATAGGTCTTGTTAGGGGAATCCCAACAGTGCCTATTCAGGGCTTGTTTAGGAAATTTTACTCAAAATTTGTCTTTGTAGGTCCTTTCTAGGCGCAACAATGGTAAGCCCAGTTAGAAGCATCCCCAATAGTGCTTATTCAAGGTCTGTTAAGGAAATTCTATTCAAAATTTGCCTTTGTACACCCTTTCTAGGTCCAATGATACCAAGCCTATTTTAGAGCATGCCTATCTAAGCCCTTTACGGACTTGGAGCGATAAAATCCTATCAGGGTAAGGACGAGAGCGGATGACACGAGCGTCGCGAATCGCGCGTCTTTGCACGAGTCGCAGGCTTAATAAAAAGCGAGGCCGCGTGTCTCATGCGAGATACACGGTAATTGATATATTCCGGACTACATTCATCGGACGTTTGCTGAATGTGCATTTAGCGGGCGATATTTTGCGCGCCACTAATTAAAATGCGAGCCGGTTCCCGCCGAGCGAAAGCGCGCTCCGGCGTTTTGACGCCTCCGCATATGCACACGAGGATATATTTAGACGACATGAAAAATGCTCGGACTCCGTCAGTTTTTCGTCGCAAATAAGCGCCCACGAGCGGGCGACACACGCTCGTCGAAGCCACTCAGACTGAAACCAGAAGAAGCCACTTTGAAACAATCGGCATATCCATAACCATAAGATTAATCAACCGTCATATATAGGCTGAGTCATCTTACGTCAGATTCGAAAATATTCTTGTTGTTCTTCACATCAGAGGAAAGCGCGTATAAGAAAATAAATTGTGTGGTAACCAATCTATTTCTTACACATTTTTTTACTTTTTCCTCTAACATAAAAAAACAATAAAGATATTTAAGAATCTAACGTTAGATGACTCACTTTGTATATGTAATCATTTAATCAATTCATCAAATTAATCATTCATCAGTTTATAATCAGTCATATCGGAATTTGATATTAAACAATGATATAAAAATCAAACCGTATAAACCTAGTTAAAAATAAAAATGTCCAGAATTAAGTACACC